AAAAAAAAAAAAAAAAAAAGAAATAACAGCCTTCACTCAATTCAGTACTTTACACAATATGCTGTGCTAAAATGCTGGCTTACATTGTCTTGTGAATTTCTAATATGCTGCAAAGTTAATGTTATAGTTCGCATTTTAAGGTAAGAAAAGACAGCATCAGACAAGTAAAATAGCTCATCTAGGGCCAAAAATCATTAAAAATTGACAATAACCAGAATTTAAATGCATATCTACAGAACTGCAAAGCTTTTGAATTTCCCCTGAAGTCCGTAACTCTATTTTATTTACATCAGTATTAAATTTAAGTTGAAACTAATATTCAGACTCATTATGTTGAGCTGATAGTTATTAAAATGGATCTCTGGCTTTATATTGTGAGCATTCTTACTACATTGACATTTCCCAAGACTATTTTACTACTCCAAACAATGCTTCTGAGAGAAGTCGTGAGAAATGGTGCTTTCACCTAGGACCAGGTAGAACCAGGGATGAAGGAGGCAATGCCTCTCTGGTACTGATGGGACAGAACTGGTACCATGAGAGGATCAACAAGAGCCCTTAGCCTTGCGCCAGACCAAAAGACTCCCAGGCTCCATCCCACACCCTCTGCTATCTATGGGGAAAAGGATCCTGCAGATCCAGGCTGCAGATGACCAGATTTACACAGGAACATCACCAAAAATGCCTGCTTCAGATTTTTGTTGCCCAGAATGAGAAAAAATGAGTGGCCAACAAGATACAACATTGTAATTGCCTCACCAATCATCATAGATATCTTACGTTGGGGCAGAAAACGGCCCAATGACAAAATTAAAAAGGAAAGAAAGTACAACAGGAAGAAAAAGAAGAAGGAGAGGATGATTCCAATGGCCCTTCTGTGAGCCTCAGTGCTTTTATCTCGGGAGTTGATACTATTTTGCTGCATCTGTCGAGTGTGCCTCCCCAGAGAGAAGAGGAGCAGAAAGTAGGTGATCAGGGACACAATTAAGGGAGGGAGATTCCACAGATTCCCAAGAACATGTAGCAGATCATATTCACGTCTCTTGTTCCTGAAGTATTCAGTCATGTTTCCCGTGCTGTCAATTCCACTGAAGGCAAAATATAACTTAAATTCATCAATCAGAGATACGGTGCTGGCACAGGATAAAAGCAGTGCACCCAAGAGCATCCATACAACCACACTGGAAACTCTCCATTTCAGCCAGAGAAATACGGGGTGGGAGAAGTTGGCAATTTTCAAGCAATAGAGGACACCAAGACAAGTGATAAGTGAAATACTCAGGTGGTTTACAAACCTCCAGAAAATATCAGTAACCTGCATTAGTACCCCTGAACCATGCATGCTGAAAAAGAAAACTAGTATAACACTATCAATGAAGATAATCCACAGCAAAAGGATCCTGGAGAGGGCCAGGTTGGTGATAATGAAGTCAGATGAAGAGATTCTCTTGCTCTTGAACCAGCTTCTGCCATTGACCAACCCAAGGAAACCATTCCCCAGATTTCCAAGGATGAACTGAGTGACCATCAGGACCAGGAACAACCACTCAGCTAGTTCCAACATGTCAACAATCAGCCAGCCCTGATCCTTATTCTTTCCGTTGAGGTGTGTAAGCTCCTTGCTGATTAGAATTTTTTTCAGAGAGTTTATCCCCTCTACCTGTTGCTTCACTGTACCTGTCTCATCTCCTCCCAGTTTAGTCTGTCATATAGCACAGATTAGTGAATCTTCTCTGGCTCCTTCAGGACAATTTGTCCTCTTCCCAGAGGCAGGGATTGTCACTTCTACCTATAATCCTAAACTCAGCGGCTCTTTGCTAAAATGCAAATAGAGTAGTGTCTGATGTCACATGGAGAAGGCAGATATGCAGGTCAAAGAATATGGAGGATGTGGACTCATTCCTAGTGGAAGTAGGACTAGAAGCCATCCAGAACAGAAAGGTGAGTGGTACCAAAAGAAGGAGGTACAGGATCACTCTGAAGAGTGACAAGTCTTGTTCCTCAGGAGGGAAGACTCAGAGACAAACACAGAAAAAGGGAAATACCAAAATTCTGCTGCGAGGCACTGTCTATCATCCTGGTTTAAGCGCATTTAATAAAGGTCAGTACCACTGACCTTGGATTAGAATTAAAAGACCTGTGTGTTGGAGTCTTATATCCAGGGACTTGAAGTTCTTTATTGCTGAGCTATAACATCAGAAATTCTTAATTATTTGAGTATCTGAACAAAAACAGCAATGAAATATAGCACGTAAGCTATTCAAAATATAAATTTTTCAGATATATTACTGTATTGATAAGTCAGTAGTAGCTCATGCTGATAAAGACTATGCAGATTTATCAATCAAAAAGGCTTATTTGTCTAAAAAAGTGCCTTACAAATTCTGACCACAACTAACAATAATATGATACATTATTATCCTTTCTCAGTAAAGCCCTTTACCCTTTGTAGTTGAGTGGTAATCAGACACTCTTTTATCCTAGTCTATTTCTTTTAATGCTGCTTGCATCTCACAAAATTGATTTATGACCATGAGTAAGTTATGATGAATACTGCTTGAAAATGCTGTCTGAAGGATGGAGAAGGACATCAGTGCCACCAAGATATAAAGCACAGAGTTCAATAACATTACCAATGACAGACAGGGGGATATACTTCTAAGTCTCTTTAAAAGGACTTCACACAGTAGATCATAAATGTGAAAGAATGAGATACAGTCTCATTTGGGGAGATGTCAATAAGCTCTCATCTGAGTCAAATGAGCTTCAGCAGTCTAAGGACACTATGTTGTGTACAATTTGATTACAGAGAACAGCAGAGCACCCCAGGAATAAACACAGTCTTCACTCATCATCCTTAGCTTTCTTAATCCAGTTTAACGACCTGGTCCAAATGCTTCCTGAATTCTGTGCTGTAGAATTAGAACAACATCAGTTTCCAGATATCTCTGGGAGTCCAGTAATAAGAATGTAGTCCAAGCCGAGCATGGTAGCGCACACCTGTAATCCCAGCACTTGAGAAGCTGAGGCAGAAGGATCGTTGCAAATTCAAGACCAGCCTGGGGTACAAAGTGAATTCAAGGCCAGCCTGAACTGCATAGTGACACCTGTCTCAAAAGGACAAATTATATTTATATATATATACACATATATTACATATATAATATGTATGTATTATATATTATATATTATATATGTGTATATGTATATGTATGTATGTATGTATTTCCAGTGGCAGGGCTTATCCCACAAACTTTTTTGTCCCTATTCATTTTTCTTGTGACCTCAATTCTACGGACTGAGATTTGTGAAATTTTATAATACTTTTGCATCTCCTTATGAGAATAAATACAATAATACCATTCTTCTATCTATATATTATTCAAAGAGGAAAAAGTTTAGAATACACAGCATATCAGAATGTATGTCATGCACAATTTCGTGTTTGACCATACTTTACTAACATATTTACCCCTTCCATTCAAACATGTCCAAAGCAAGCCTGTCAAATTACCCCCACTTAAAAAATACATCATTTATCTCTCTCCCTTAATCCTCCCCATTTCAGCAAATGACAACAGTATTCAGTTCCTAAAGTCAGACACTACCTAAGAATTAACTTGATGGGGCTGGGGATTTAGCTCAGCGGCAAAGCGCCTGCCTGGCAAGCGCAAGGTCGTGAGTTCGGTTCCCGGTACCGGAGAAAAACCAAAAACAAACAAAAAAAACAAACAAAGAATTAACTTGATATTTTTACCTATCCCCTTACCCCATATCCACTCATCCATGACTTATACATTTTAATTACAAAATATATCTTGAATTTTACATTTCAACTGCATCTATTCTCATTGACATTTTTTCTCAGCTATACTACTTGATGACCACCTAATTTTTTTTCCACTTCTAGTCTTTTTTCTAATCTATCGTCCATTTAGGCACAAGAGTAATGTTCTTAGACTAAATCTAATCATTTCAGTCCACTATTTAAAAGATCTTAATGGCTTTCCACTGCCACTACAACAAAATATAAATCCTTACATTACAATGTGTACTAAAAATTTCTGAGTATCATTCTGTCATGTACCAAGATTCAAGTCAGATTTTACAATATCACATGTTTTATGTTAAAGGAATAGACTTTCTTAGAATAAGGGGAAACTTCTATCAGCAACAGAATGAAAAAAAGGTTCCTCCTTGCCCTATCATTACACAGAGACTAGGGTGCTGTTTAGTTAGCTCCCTGTTATTCTCCCTTCTTAAAATAAAAAGTCAAAGCAATCATGTAAGCAGGAAAATAAAGAATCCGAAACTCTAGATTTGGAAAGCTAGTTGTTACAGAGCTGTTTGGAAATGACAACTGACCAACATCTGGGACAAGTTCTACAATTATGCCCATCTTTTATGAAAAGGAAAATCAGGCTAAGAGATAGCTAATAAAGAGCAGTGCTGGGATTCTAACCCTTTCAGAATCCTTTAAACCAAAGACGTTGGCGATCACCTATTGATGTTGCCTTACTGAAAACAAAGGGAAATGGGGGCCTTGAGCAGTATGAGGTCAATGACAAATCTTAGATCTCCTTTTTTTTGTCACACTGCTTCATCTTCCCTGGTTCCTGATGATTTCCATAAACTCTCAAATCATGGAATACAGCACAAAGCAACAAATGTTCTCATGAAAACTGAAACCCTATTCTGCCTCTAATGTTATTCATTTACTCAATTAATAATGCCCTCATGGTAAGTTGAAAGAGCCCTAAAAAATAATAATCATGAATACTTGCAACTTTGTACTATCAATGATTTTAGCTAACTATGTGACACTAGCAAATTTATTGAGATTTCTGATCTTCTGTTTCCAAATAAACAGAGACCAGATGGTCAATCAGAATGGTGTAAGCGCCTGGATTCTACAATCAACAGCTGGATTTGAATATGGCTCCCACAGCTCACTAGTCATGTGAAGTTAAGCAAGTTAATCTCCCTAAACCTCAATTTATTCCTCTGAAAAATTAACATGATAATAGCACTTATTTTATAAAATCATTACAGTATTAAGTGACAAGACCTATAAAAATATAAAGGGGCCAGGGATATAGCTCAGCAGCACAAGCACCTGCCTGGCAAGCACAAGGTCCTGAGTTCAATTCCCAGTACCAAAAAAAAAAAAAAAAAAAAATATATATATATATATATATATATATGTATATACATATATATATATAAAATGCAGACATGTTCTTCAAATGTTAGCTACATGGCACTACATATTACCCATAAGTATGATATTATTTAATAAAACCTTGTATATAAAGTAATATTTAACATGTCAAGGAAGAAAATCAAAATAAGAGTAAATTGGTTTCAGTGACTTAAAGGTGGGAGGCATAGTGAAACCTAGCCTCAGACAGGTCCTCAGACAGGTTCTGCAGACACAGCCTCCTTCACCCACATGCAAGCTGACTTCTGGACTGTGACAAATACAGCTTCCTGAAACACTGTAACCACCTCTACAAGGGATCCCTTCACCCTAACCGCCCCAAGACTGAGGCCACACCCTCTCTCTTTCTTGTAAACCAGCTTCATATTTGCCAGGGCCAATCATAATTCCTAACTAAAAAGTGATATAATTTCCAACTACCTTATGATTTAAAGCTATACCGTTGCCATTTTGTAATAGCACTGAGCACATCTGAATGTTTTCCCAGACGGCAATCTTAATTGGTCTCTCAGTAGTATAATTGTCTTTGTTCTCCGCTAGGTTGATGTTATTTTTCAGTCAACAAATGCATATAAAAAATATGTGCAACATATACCTAAGATATAGAGCAAACGAATATCTAGAACCCCACTACCCAAATTAAGAAAACATTACCCATTACCATAAACATACCCATTATCATATTACCCGTTTACCTGAGTGCTTATTCCCTTTCCTACTTTCTTCCCTCAACCCCTCCAAGGTAATTCATCATGAATTGTTTATCATTCCATTGCCTTAGAAGGTATCTGCCTATCTGTATATATTTACCTCTACTTCATGTTTTAATCTTTATAAAATAACAAAGACCTTCTGCAATATGACTATTTCACTTGATATGTTTATAAGTTATCTTTGTTAATATGCTCTTCCTTTACAGAGCTCCATAGTATTCCAGTGTGAGCATTTATTTATCCATTCTGTTGAACTTCTGGGTTATTTCCAGTTTCATACTATCATGTACACTGCTGCTATGAACACCCTAAGGCATATTCCATGAGTTATATCAGCAAGGACTTCCTATACGGTGTATCCTAAAGGTGGAATAACTTAAGTTAAAGTTCAACATTACAAGTTAACGCCAGATAGAGATGGAATTTATACTACCCTCTCCAGGGCACATTTCCATTACCTCACATTTTATCAACTGTGTTGAAATTTGCCAAACCAGAGGACTTAAAATCTAATCTGGCTTTGGTTTGCATTTCCTTATTAATAAGGTCAATCTTTTTCATATATTAATGTGTTATTTACATGTCCTTCTCTGTGAAATGCCTGTTTCTGAACATTTTTCTACCAAGTTGTCTTTTTCTTTTTACTTTGTAAGGCCTTTATATAGTCTAGACAACTATTTGTTACATTACTGCAAATATCTTAATTTGTGACTTGTTTTATGATGACCTTTAATAAACAAATGCTGCTTTTAACAGTTAAATTTTTCACTTTTTATTTAAATAAAATTCCATATCCCCAACTCTAGAAGTGTTGTCCTTTACATTCTCACACTTAAGTTTTGCCTTTTGCAAATAAGTCTTTATAAAGAGCCAAGAACTTATTTTTGCATAAGGTGTGAGACAGATTCTATTTCATTTTATTCTGTACGGACGACCAATTTTCCTAGTATCATTTGTTTACTAATTTATACTTTACCCAATAATCCATATGGCAACTCTTAGCCATTATTTCCAGATAAGCATGGTCTGTTTAGAGATTATTCTATACCACTGTTCTATCCCTGCACTGATAGTATACTTATTATAATAGCTTTACTTATTGTTTTTTGCTTTTTTTGTTTGAGACAGGACCTCACTATGCAGTTCAGGCTGGTCTTGAACTCACTTTGTAGCCCAGGCTAGCCTCGAACTCACAACAATCCTCCTGCCTCAGCTTCCAAGTGCTGGGATATAAGTTTTATTTAAAAAGGGGGTAAAAATCTTTGTCAATTGGTAGAGTAAGTTCCCCATCTCATTTTACAGGAGCTCATTGTGTTTCTGGAACTTCATCAATATATCTTTAGAGTCAATTTGTTAAATCCCCGGGATTACAGAAATTGATTTCAAATTCTTTTGATCTATAACATCAATTTGGGGATGGTTGACAACTTTATAGCACAGACATTTCCAATAAACAAAGATGGTGTACATATGTTTAGTTTTCTTATGTTCAACAGTTTTAGGAGTCTCCACAGAGACTATGCACTGAAGATTCCTTGCATCTTCTGATGCTCTCATACTGCACTATTTTAAAATTACTTTTGCTACTGTTTGCAATGTAATATTGACCTTATTTTCAACAACTCCTACTTATCTATACACTTACTTTCAATGTAATCATAGTATGTAAATTATACTTCTTCCAATCAAAATTTTTTTTCCTTTTCAATAATAGTTCCTAGAACCTAAGTATAAGTAGGTTATTAAAGGGAAATGCTAAGATAAGCCTGCTTTAAAGGAAATTTTTTTTTATTTCCAAACCACAATGCCAAGGTAAGTGCCGGTCATCAGAGAATTCCCATTTCTGTTGCCTGTGTTGTTCTAATTTCAGTTCCTATCTCATTTTAACATTGTCCTTTGGTTTTTCCTTTTTCCTACAAGCCCAATGTTATAAAGTACATTATGCTCCCAACCTACAAATTCTTCTTTTGTTGAAGCTCTAACTCCTACCATGACTGTATTTAAAGGTAGAGCCTGTAAAGAAGTAACTAAAGTTAACTAAGGTCAAAGGAGTGGTAGCTGCTCCTCATAATCACAAAGAAAAATGAGGTCATATGAGCACACAGCAAGATGGTGGCTCTTACAAGCCAGAAAGAGGCTTCACAAGGAACTAACCATGTTGCCACCCTGGCTTTCAGTCTCCAAAACCCTAAGAAAGCAAGGGTCTGTTGTTTAAGCCATCTGGTCTACCATGTACACTACTTTGTTAAGACACCCTGAGCAGACTAATATACCTAATGATACAATAAAAACTATTTTGTATTTAGGATCTCATTACTTATTACCAGTGGAGCTGGGGGTACAGTTCAGCGGCATAAGGGCCTGCCTGGCAAACACAAGGTCCTAAGTCCGATTCCCAGTACCAAAAAAAAAAAAAAGCCAGTGGGAAGCTTCTTTGCCCAAATGATCTAGTTAGCTAACTGCCAAGGGAGTGTAAAAACAGTACTTCTATTCCCATATGTTTGTTTATTTAACAAGGGCAGGAGTTAATTAAGGGTCCCTACTGAGGAATATAAGAAAAACAGTATTCAATGAAAAATAAGTTTATGCTATCTCTTTTAAGGCTAATTATTAAGGTTCTGTGTGCTTTATATGCCCCCAGGTCCCTCCCCAAATCTGTAATGAGACAAAGATTAAAATCCTAAAAGACACCATGCATGGTGGCACACACCTGTAATCCCAGCACTCAGGAGGCTGAAGCAGGAGGATCACTGTGAGTTTGAGACCAGCCTGGGCTACCAAGTGAACTCAAGGCCAGCCTGAACTGAATTGTGAGATCCTGTCTCAAAAAGACAAAAAAAAAAGAAAAAATCCTAAAAGACTATGGGATAAGTGATAAGATTTTACTTTTGCTTGCACTGGAAGGTTATGAAATAGAAAGGATAAGAGCAAAGATTTGACCGTGTATGGAGATAAAGGTAAGAACGTGTGAATTATAAGGATCAGGCTTAACTGCACACAAATAAGTGGATTAGGGGCTGGGGATTTAGCTCAGCGGCAAAAAGCGCCTGCCTGGCAAGCGCAAGGTCGTGAGTTCGGTTCCCGGTACCGGAGAAAAACAAAAACAAAAAAAACAAAACAAATAAGTGGATTAAACAAAAAAGAAGTTTATTTGTGTCTTCCAAAAAGGTCCAGAGGCAGGCTGTCCAGACTGGGTTGGTGGTCCCAGGTGATCACAGATCCCAGTTTCTTTCATCTTCCATCTGAAGACTGCTTCATATTCAGGATGGCTCCTGGAGATTCAGCCATCATGTCCACGTTTCAGACAAGAAAAGGGGCATGAGGTCTGAAGAAACACAAAGGGTGAGTCTCCAAACAGAGTTAGTTCACGTAAGACTTCTCCTGGAAGCTCCTGCAAAAGACTTCCGCATACAGCTTCTTGGCAATCCCTAACTACAAAGGACAGTATGTAGTATTTGGCTGTGTACAATGTCACCTCCAACAAAATACTGGCTCTAAAAATAGATACTGGGTAGTGTATTAATCATGTTTTTTTAAAAATACTTTATGAAGCTTTGACATCTTTGGGGCTTTGTAGGACCAGAGGGGCTCCCCATGCTGAGTTAGTTAATTTCTAAAGTCAGTGAGCAACTTGATCAGGAAACCAATTCTAAGCCTTACACTCATCTAACACCTTTTACTAGGCCCCTGCCCTCATTTACCCCAGATGCCTGACAGTTAGGGATCACCCCCAAGACTGCTGAAATCCCTCAAATTATCTAACCTTACACTTGCTCAGCTTGCCCACTGTGCTTTATTTGTTTCTTCCTAGGGAAAAAAGCACACACACACACACAAAAATACGTATGTTCCCCTTTCTTGACTCCTTACCAACTCTTTGTTCATGCTGCAGCCCTGAATGGCATGGCAAGCCCCTCCTCTCAAAAGGGTCAGGAACAAAAAGCTCCCTCTTGGAAGTGTCAATAACAAAAAGCTCTTCTTTCAAAGGCAGCTGTCTCCATATATGTAGTATTACTATACTATATGTGTTTACAGCAAATTCCAGTGCTCAAACAACAAACAAGCAATTGGAAATCCTTCCCACAATAAGGTTTTCCACGACAGAATGGAATCCAGCAAGATGTGCAAGTTACCTCACAAAGCCTGTTTATGATGTTGGCGAAAGGAAAAAATTCTTACTGAAGTTCTCTTCTGAGCTCCAGACTAATGTAACCAACACCCTGCCCAATATCTGTTCAAAACTAAACTCATTCATTATCTTTTCCCCCTCAAATTTGCTTCCTCATCTGTGGCCCATAAACTTAGAAGAAAAGTTCACTATTCAGCAGTGATCCAAGCAAGAATTTCTGAATCATCTTTTAATTGCTTTTGCTCTTACCAGTATTTATTGTATCACCACAGAATGCTGGGCAGGAGTTATATGTTACTCTGCTTAGTATCCCTAACCCAGAAGCTATCACAAGATCTGGGACAAAACTGGAACATGATTATTTGAATTAATTTGAATCCCAAATGCACCTGAAACTGCCTCTCACACCTTCACCCACCCATTCTACTAATCTTTCCAGCCTTATTGCAGGAAATTCCTAAGTATCGCTAGGCTTTCCCCACTTCTGTCACCATGTCTTTGTTCTCTTTCTAAAGCATAATTTTGATGAGGCATCCCTGTTCTTAAACCTTCTATGGCTCACCACTGCCCAATTTCTGCAAGATTCCAAGGTCCTTTATATTCTAGCAAGAACCTATCTTTCACTGCCTCAAAAACTGTTACATTTCTGGATCCTTGTTCATGCTGTCTCCCTAGCCTAACTATTCTCTTCCATCCTCCTCCTCACACCACAGCACACTTAGCAGCAGTTTCCACTCATTCTCCCTGCAGCACTCATCCACCCAAACTGTGAGTTCCTTACTCAGCAATCTTGTCATGCTCAACTCTATAGCCAGGTGCTTTACTGGGTGCATACTTACAGCAGGTGCCCAGCTGACTTTGGAGTTTAAGAGATAACCAGATTAATTGTAAACAATGATGACAACAACAACAAAACATGGAAGTAGTATTCAATCATCCATGGAAGGATGGAAGTTAGTAACAACAAAAACTCAAGTACAATAAACTATCCTAGTGTTAATATGTTCTCATAACTATCACATGAGATTTGGTAAGATGGGCCCAGTGACTGAAATAACATACCTTGTTTAAAATAGTAACAACAATAACAGTCAATATGTATTGCGTATCTGTTTCAGTCACTATGTATTAAATGAGTTACACTTGTTATAGCATTTATTGTGCTCTTCACAATGGTAGTATTATCCCTATTTAATTCTAAAGCAGGGAAAGTAACTCACCAGGCATCACTCAGCTGGTCACTGGAGCATGTCAAATTCAAGCTATCTGACTGGATGGTCTTAACTCTGAACTGTTATTATCATAGACTACCTGTCTTTCAAAAATCTGGTAGGTCAGAAAAAGTAAATAAATATCAAAATGAATATATATATATATTGTTAAAAAAAAAAAAAGCTTGGAGATCCAAAACAGGGCAGAGAGCAGGTGGATGCAGAGTAAAGAGATGAAAAGTCACTATGTTATCATGGCTACGTGACATGGACAACTGGAAAAGCTACAAACCACCCTAGTACGTGGGAATGTGGGGCTTGCACAGAAGCAAATTACAGCTATGAGGAGGGACTTCAATGCTGTCAATGCCTGTCCAGTTTCTCAGTCTCTCAAAAGTGAGACTGAAAAATTCCTGAACAATGTTCTTAACAATTTCAACTCCAAGTAAACAATAAAAGGAGCACACATTCTGAAATTACTCTAACCAGTAAAGAGATACTGCTTGACACAAGGAAAACAACAGGAGTATGTTAAGATAACCAGGTAGAGAAATTATCTGTGACTTATTTTCCTGTAGGATCATCAAACTGAGAATCAGAAAGAATAATAGGTAGAGAGGTATTTTTCCTTCACTCCTAACTCTCTGCCCAACCAAAACCTATTATTTATTCCACTTCTGTCTCTTTAGGTCAGCAGTAGAAGATTGGGAATGCTAATCCCAATGGGACATGATGCAAATGCAGTGAGTAGAAAGGCAAATGAACACCTCATACACTAAGCTTCAAGCTCCAGATGGGCATCTTAAAAGCTGTATAACTTAGACAAGCTACTTAATCTCTCTCAGTTTTTGGATCTCACATGTAAAATAAGGATATCAGTACTTTCTTCTTAGGGTAATAGTTATGTTAGACAATGATAGAAAAGAGAGTACTTACTGCCTGACACATAGCAAAGCACATTAGTACTGTTATCATTTGCTCATTAACCTTGGGGATTACTGCTCATTTTCTACAATGATTTTCTTGTTGCTACTTCCATCAAATTTCACAATACATAACACAAATCCTAAAAGAAAATAAGTAAAATGATCCTGCCCTCATTTTCATGTCAGTAAGTGATAATGAATGACAGACATCTTATAAAGTCCTATAATGTCACTGTGCTAGGTTGACAAGATAGGGGCACAAGTGCAACGTGAGTAGAAGGTAACATTGCCTTCAAGAATTAGGTGATCTCTTTTGCGTACAAAGGGAAACTTCCAGGCCAGGGATATAGCTCAGCAGTGTAGCACCTGCCTAGCAAGCGCAAGGTCATGAGTTTGATTCTCAGTACCAAAGAAAAAAAGGGAAACATCCATCAATTTTTCCTAAATGAGCTATAAAGCTTAGCAACAAGTCCCCAGAAACAAATATATCTATTCCTCAAACAGGCCCAGAAAAATGTGTTTGGTGTTTTCCGGTATCTCTGAATTAATTACTCCGTGATTTCTGAGAAATAGAGTAGTCTGAGAATTGTACTGGCAGTAAACACAGTAGATATCACATAGGTGAGTCTTTCAGTCCTTGGTTGTATAGATGTTATTAAAATGTAGAGATGCTATAAGTATAAATGCTAAAATCCAGATGGACAGAAAAAATATGAAAAATTTTCTTGTTCTAGTACATCAAGCAACACTGACTGCACGTAAGTTGAGTCTACCTAGTTTCAAAATAACAGAAAAGATTTTTTTTCCCAAAATTAAGGTTTTTTAAATTATAAAATTATAAATACTCATGCTATAAACAAAAGAAAATGTATAAAGGTGTAAAAAAAAATACATCTGATAATTACACTTTGATGTTTCTCCTTCCAGACTTTTTAAAGCATGTTTAATTATAACGTCTTTTATAACTTCCTTTTCAAGAATGAGACACATGCCATTTCATATGTTTTCTCCCACTTTTCTGTGTATAGCACTCATCTTTTCCCTAAACATATAATCCTCAAATCAAAGTCACAGGGCAGTTTTTTGCAGCTCTCTCACACCATCACATCAAGAGAAATGTAAGACCCAAAAACTTAATCTAGAAGACCCCTACAGTCTATTTCTGCTATCATATTCCACAAATATATTCTGTGCCTGGACTACTTGGGAGCAGCTGAAAGCAGATAGGGCTTGCAAGGTGCGGAGAGCAGTTTTTGCTCCAACAAATCTAAGTGGTTTGGGGCCACTGATTCTACCAGAATCAGTACACAGGTAGCGGATAGAACCTGGCCTAGAAAGTGCTACTGCCTCAGCCTCATACCCGGTCAGGGACCAGAGGAGAGGCAATCCTGTGTGGGGACAGTTTGGAAAATAACCTTCACTCAGCTCACAGCAATGATGGTGCAGGACACACTATTCTGCTCCTGCACGTTGGACTCAAGACACTTCTTTAGGCAGGTAATTAAGCTCCTGTGATTTTCCCAGAGCAAGGACTGATTTATCATCCTATTTAGAGAGGAATGCTAATCTGTAAAATTTGTCACAAAATTTAAGGATATAAAAGCTATTTTGATGAGGGAAGACACACAAGCTGCTCAAAAGACAAGTTTTATTTACTTTACAATTTTGCTTGAGGAATAAAACTATGCTTGATGACTAGTGGCTCTCACTGCAGAAAGACAAAGATAATTGCTATTGTTCTTGGGTAAGGAGAGGCTAAAGCTAAGGAACGCCATCCTTCCTCAACCAAACTGCACTGTAAGCACGAAAAAGCTGTTCAAGTGTGCAGGAAATAAGTCCAACGTGACCTAAGCTACAGTTAGCAGCACATTCTTAGACCAAGAGGACAGAATACGTACCCTGAGGAGCAAACCCACAGGATGGACTAAGCTGTCCAGAATGGGACAGACAGAACAAGGGATTGCTAACATTTGAACAAAACTATTTGATCAGTACCAGCTGACCTCTGGAAAATGGTAGGCAGACCTGAGAAAGACCAATGTAAACTTTACAAATAAAATGCACTGAAAACTAAGCTGATTTTATGTAACCTTTATTAGTAATTATTAGTACTCTAGCAGAAAACAAAAGAAAAATGTAATACCTGAGGCCCTTGGGAGTAATGTCAAAGGTGCTAACAGAACCTTTGGGTTGGGGTGTAACCCAGTGGTGAAGTGTTTACCTAGCACGCCCAAGACCCTGGGTCCATCCTCAGCACTTAAAAAAAGCAGGGAGCTTCTTCCCACCCCCTGAGAGTTCTGGAAGAAACCTGAAAAGACAGTGAAGAGGGGCTTGGAAAGACACAGAATAATGAAAACAGAGCATATACAAACTATTTCACCTCTAGTTATACCTCAGGTCCTCACAGCTATAAACTATGTCTCATAACTGCTATGGGGAAACTGTCAAAAAACTGAAGATGTAAACAACATAGGTTAGTCCTGAAGAGTTTAGGTTAAACAGTAATCACCATTCACCAATCTGCTTCACTTTGGACTAAAGCTCAACATCCCATGTGGATCATTCATCTGTCAACATTATTGAATGTTTCTTTTGTACCATGCCCTGGTTAAGGTCCAGGTACACAAAAAAAAACACTCCTGACCTTCAAGTCTACAGAGCAAATATAAGAAAATCAGTATTTACAACTATAGGATAAATGCCTGACATAGAGTAATGCTCAATAAATACTGAACCAACACTGAAATAGAAGTGTACACAAAAAACCACAGGGCCCTCCAAAGGACATGTATCTCTTTGCTATAACACAGATGGATGAACCTGAAATTCATTATTTTGTATACCTGTACAAAGACACCACTCCTAGGGGGCTGGGGATTTAGCTCAGCGGCAAAAGCGCCTGCCTGGCAAGCGCAAGGTCGTGAGTTCGGTTCCCGGTACCGGAGAAAAACCAAAAAAAAAAAAAAAAAAAAAAAAAAAAAAACCAAAGACAACACTCTATCTTTGAATAGAAATCCTTCACGACTGATGCTTTACTCACCAACCCAGGCATATGCCACATAGAGGGAATGACAGAAAACATTTATCATTTTATGAAATAACATTTTAATTCTTGTCTTAAAACTATAAAGACTATACATGATTTAGAAATGAGACTGTACCAAACAATGGCCAAAGAATCGTCTGTTCATTCCTTTTCTTTTGTCTGGTCACTCAAAAAGATAATGTTGTCTGTAAAGAAATCAAAGTAAAAAAATTAATTTCTGAACTTCATGTCATTTATAATTCCCTTCTAATAAATAATACATTAGTCCAGTTACAAGTTTTTAGAGTATTAAATAATTACCACTATGTTCATGAGAAACATACACAATAGGCATAAATGGAGCTGAAAGCTGGGCTTCCACTGCTTGTCCACCAGTGCAGACCTTGTTAGAAGAGGTGAGGCATTTCTTGTCTTTCCTGAAGAAACTTAAGATAAAATCTGCCTAACAATAACTTCCTCTAAAACAGTGGGCCACAAACTGGGATGCTTGCAATGCTCAAGAGATGCCAGGAAACAAGGGTGCATGCCCTTCCACAGAGGAGGACCGTTCCAACTACAGTTACAGAAACCAGGATGAGGATCCACACAGCCTTTTTAGCAACTGCAGGTTGACTTTTTTTTTTTTTCTTGGTTATTTGAGACAGGGTCCCGCTGTGTAGTTCAGACTGGCTTTGAACTTGCAGCAATCCTCCTGCCTCTGCTAAAGAGTGCTGGAATTACAGGCATGTGCCACCAGGCCTGGCTACTTATGTTTTAAATAAGTTTAAGAAATCTTATTTTTAAATTTTAAAACAAAATGACTTTTATGTACCCATTTTGGTGAAAAGTTTTGCTAACAAATATCAAAGTAATAATTTTTACTCAAAAACATCAGATACTGCTCTGTAAATGCTATTTGAGGAAGCTAGCTAAAGATAAGCAAAGGAAAAGAGATAAAGTAGTACTTCCTATGTAACACCACAAATTTTCAACTCTTTTAAGCATAAAATTATCCACAAAGAGCTTGAATTTCTGACCATGACTTCATAATTACTATTCCAAAAACACTTGAGAAGAGATTGTAGAAATTGACATCATTGTGTAAAAAGTCAAAAGCGCCACCCACTGGTGGTCAGTATTAAATTCAGGTATAAAAAAAACACTGGTCTGTAAAATAGCCCATTCAACTCTATTTTCTTCAATTCAAACATCACTAAAGGATAAAGTTAACTGACCATCCCAGTGATAACTGGTAAAAAGAAAACAACCAATGGTAGACAAGCTGAAATGTTCTATTTGGTTTAGCTCATAACAACTCAATGATCTGAACAATCCTAAGTTTGTTCATACACTTGATTCACAGTGGAAAAAAAACAGGGCAGGAAAACACCTACATTGGTTTTCCAGGTCAATATACTTTCAAAGAAACCATTAGAAGATTATGATTACTATTTATGTACACTGGTTAAGACATGAACTCTGGAGCAAATAGTAAGATGAAAACAAGGAAAATGTCAGTTAAGAGACTTAAAATGCATAAACTACAAGACATGCTTGTGAGGTAATCAAGAAAATCTAACACTTTGTAAACCTGATATTTAGTTTTAAAATTTTAACAATAATATCTTAATATGGGTGTGATAATAACATTACACTGATCTTTTTGAAAAGATACCTTATCTTTCAGAGACACCTACTAAAACCAAACATCTGGGATTTGCTTCAAAATGATCCAGGCAGAAGCTGGGTGTGGTGGCACATACATGCCCTTAATCCCAGCACTTTATAGCAAAACCTTGTCTCAAGAAAAAAAAGAAGTCACACTGGCCCTTCAGATGGTAAGTGATGAATCTGAATGATGGAGTCTCATTTTCTACTAACCTTTCTACGTTTTATGTATGTTTGACATATTCCACAATAACTTCAATAATAACAATTTGAGCGCATCTTAGTAGTATACAAACACTGAGATATTACTGTAAAATAGCTTTTTTTGGAGACAGGTTCTTGCCATGTAATCCACTATGGCCTTGAACTTACTATGTCAAAACTTGAACTCACAGTGATCCTCCTGCCTCTGTTCTGGGATTATAGGCCTGTACCACTATACCCAGCTACTCATTTCTATTTGCGGTTTTCTGGATTTTATATCAATAAAAACAAAACAACAAAATTAAGGCTTACTAATGCCTAATTCTAGCAATTTATCCAAGAAGTAGAGAGGGGCAGGGTAAAGTAAAGAGGGCTCAGTGGCACAGCGCCTGCCTCGCGAGCACAAGGTCCTGAGTTTGATTCCCGGTACCAAAAACAAAAGTAAAGACGGCACTATCTATCACAGTGATGGCGAACCTATGGTACCTGTGCTGCAGTGGGCTGTTTGTATCACTGAAAGCTCTAAAAGGTTTGCCTCACTGATCTATCTCATTAAGAGATGTATTTCCATAAAATTTTAGTTTTTATGTTAAGATATTGAAAATGGTCTCAATTAGGTATTAAAAGCAATTGTAACAATTCAACCAAGAAGAAGCATCTTTTAGAGCCTGTCCCAGAACTTTTTAAAGTATTTTAAAATTTCTTGGCTGGACATGTTGGCACACACGTGTAATCCCAGCACTTGGGAGGCTGAGGCAGGAGGATCATTATGTGTTCGACACCAGCCTGGGCTACACAGTAAGCTCAAGGCCAGCCTGAACTGTATAGCGAGACCCTGTCTCAAAAAGACAAAAAACAAAAAACACAACAAATAAAAAATAAAATTTCTTTTATGTACACTCAGTTCTCAATATTCAGAGGTTACATATCCACAAATTCAACCAACAATGTATCAAAAATATTTGAAAACAATTGCCATCTGCAATTGTAGAGTTCTCCTTGCCATTATTCACTGAACAGTAAACAATTGCATAGACTTTACATTACTATTAGTATTCCTTTACACTACTATTAGGTATTATAATTAATCTAGATATGACTTAAAGTATACGGGAGCATAAGTGTAGGTTATATAGAAATACTAGGCCACTTAACAGACTTGAGCATTGGCAGGTTTTGGTATCTGCAGGGGATCCTGGAACCAATCCTCTGAAGATATAAAGGAATGACTATATTTTTGTTACAGCCAAAAATAAAAATAAAAAATTCTTCTTAACTACACAGTATGCTAAGATACACTTTTGAGGAAGAAATGAAAATAGCAAAACAAGCTCCACCACCAAAAAAAAGGAATAATACAAACATTTCAAATGTTGAAGCACTTATCCATGTATTTTTAATAAGATGGTATTAAATTGCTAGAGTACTTATAGTCCACTAATCCAAACATAATTTTACATTGAAAAACTCCTCTCAAAGCCAAAGGTCAAGGGGTTATACTGCTTTCAAAATTCTTTTCCTGAAGTTTGAAAACTCTGCTATAGGATTATCTTCTTAATCTTCTTCAAGTTTTATGCGTCCCTCTTCTCTATGTCTCTTTTCTATGTTGCTTTTAACAATAAAATTTTTTCACATTTTTATAGAAATTTCAGCATTTGAACTTCTAATGCGGCTCTGAATAAATCTACACAAATTTCTACTGCCACACATTAATGCAGCTGTCTTCGCACACAGCCGTCCATGTTTAGGACATGATCTTTATTTATTTATTTTTGGTTTTTGGAACTGGGTCTCGCCATGTAGTTCAGGCTGGCCTTGAATTCACAGCAATCCTCCTGCCTCAGCCTTCCAAATGGTGGGATTATAAGCATGCGCCACCATGCCCAGCAGGCCATGGTCTTCAAAAAGACCCTAGGACTAAATTCTTCTAACTCTCAACAATAAGTACTAGCATGGACAATTCAATGTTATACTCAACTTCAAAGTTACCAGTGAACTAAAACTGAATGTAGAGATAATCTTCTCAGCGAAGAGATATAATGTAGAAAATTAGCAAACAGAAAAAGCTGTTATAAAAGTCCTCTAAATCCCATAGAGTTTCACAAGCAGTGGTACTCACAGCCCCAGTTACTTACTTTTTTTTGTTTTGTTTTGGTTTTTTTCCGGTACCGGGAATCGAACTCACGATCTTGTGCTTGCCTGGCAGGCACTGTGCCGTTGAGCTAAATCACCAGCCCTCCAGTTACTTATTTACAAAATATCTAGCTTTCAAAGAAGGAAGAAAAAGAACAGCTATTATTACTAGCTTCTTACCAGCTATGATTGTTGTTGCTTGTCGCCTCACATTATTTTTATCCATGTATTCACCATAGTCCACTTTTCCTTCCACGAAAATTCGGGACCTGATATAAATAAAATTTGTTTTAGTCTGGAGATCCTAAAAGACATTAGAAGAGTGAGTCAAGTCAGCTGTGGTAATGAATACACACCAAAGATAAAATATGTAATTATACATAATTTCATTTTTTGCTACTGCTTTTCAAAGTTCAGAATTAACAGTACTGAAATACAATGTAAAAACAGACTTGGATACACACAAGTAAAATGGACAACGTTTTCACCCTTCAGCTAGTTTCCTTATGGAAGTTTAAAAACGAAAAAGTAACCTTGAGAATATGAAGAAGGGACCAGGAACTTACACAGTAACATCCTTCAACTCTCTAGAATGATTTCCAATGTATCATTTTACTTAACCTTTGCCTTTGGACTCTAACAGATATACTGATTTTAACTTATTTATCAATTCCCTTCTATGTGAGGTTCATGATTTTATTCTCAAGAGATTTAGATTATTAAAATTCAAAATCAAGGTTTTTCAACTCAGTGTATCAGAGTTAATGACTATTTCTATCCTTATAAAAGGTTGAACTAGATGATCATAACTATGATTATGATATGTGGAAAATGATCCCCACTGGAATCAGTTTTCAGACTCCACCACTAGTACAAAAACACAATACAGCCAGGCATGGTAGCACATGCCTGTAATCCCAGCATTCGAGAGGCTGAAGCAGGAAGATCCCTGCAAGTTCGAGACCAGCCTCGGCTACAAAGTTGGCTCAAGGCCAGCCTGAACTGCATAGCAAGACCCTGTCTCAAAAAGACAAAAGAACAAGCAAACAAAAAAATCAATACAGAAGGAAGGCACACTAGTGAAATAATGGGGCAGCAAACAGACAGATAGACTTATCAATCAGTAGGTCAAACTATACATTGATATTTTCCATTAATATCTTACATGTGTTTGTACATGGGTATATAAAAACATTCCTACATATGTACATTAAAGGCAGTGAAGATATATATGAAAAAAGGTATACAAATATTAATATTAAAAAATATTAAATTTTAATTACTGCTGAAATTTAATGACTTTTTTTTGAGACAGGGTCTCACTATGTAGTGCAGACTGGCCTTGAACTTGCTTATGTAGCCAGGCTGCCCTTGAATTCTTTTTTCTCTCTTTTTTTTTTTAAATTTTTTTTACTTTAAAGAGTAAAAGAAGATAACATAATAATGGCGGGAGGCTTACCAAATTACAGACAAAGTGGTAGGAAATTATCAATGGTTATTGTTTTACATATTGTTATCTACAAGATAGTTTCTCAGGAAAACAAACAGACAAATAACAGCGAGTTACAGACAAAAGCAGTAGGAGATTATCAATAGTTGTTGTACTATACTTAGGTATCTTCAAAGTGGCTTCTAAAAAAAATAAATAGACCTATACATGAGTGACCTATTGAATAATCATTAACTATTCTCAATGGTCGTTGTAGGAAACACATAATAATAAACATGCATCCACTTATGAAATAGGATAGGAACAATACAAACATTACAGAGTTATGGATAGATTAGTAGGAAAATATCAATGACTGCCCTTGAATTCACACTCCTGTCTCAGCCTCACAAACGCTGGGATTACAGGCATACATTACCACACCTGGCTCATGAAATGTTTTATTTCTACAAAATAAGTACATTCTTAAACTTATATTAATACAACTGTTGTTAAATACATTCTTCTATCTTTCTGAGAATTTAAGTACTTTTCATATAAATAGTCAAGTATTGCAATGGGGAACTACAAAGTCTACAGAAAATTCCCAAATAAAACAACTGTGAGAACAATACCATAATAACTCAGTATATCACCATTCAGACACTCCAGATCTTCCAAGGGTATTATACGGACGCCAAGGGGCAAAATGTCACCTCCAGGGTCCCTGGTCATGGAAACATGGGACGTCCTAAAAGCACATGTTGCTGCTGCTCGAAGAGCAAGTGTTGTGAGGACACTTGAATTGACGGCCTTTTCTCTTGTCTCATCTACTCCTATTTATGCGTATGGCCTCTTTGCCCTAAACCGTAAGTTCTCAGCAGGCTAAAACCATGTTTTGTACACTTTTGAATTAGTCACACAAACACTGACATTCCAAACATGCTACTAAGGAATTCACAAGTACAACTTACATAACTTCTGAGGGATAAGTTAGTTTTTTGACATGAGGCCACTTGTTATCAGCTCTTTAAACTATTCAGTCCAAAAGATCTCTCCTTCTTATACTTACCCCTTTTTCACATACTGATATGCTACATCTCTAAGGCCTGGCCGAAACACTGATATTCGGTGCCATGTTGTCTTTTGACTGACATCACCTAAGTCACAAAAACAGAAAACATGGTTACAAATATCCTAGACAAGAGGGGAATGGGACAAAAATATTAGGATGTGTTGTGTACATGTATCAACTCCCCACAACGAATGTAATCATCATGTATTGCAAATATGTACTTTTTCAAAAAAGGGAGAAAAGATCATTGCTCAGACTTTTAGCTAAGATCAAGTGTAGTATCTGTTCTTAACAGTTTAAAAAACAGAGAAAAGAAACCATTATAAACACTCCAGACAAAATAAACACCAAAGGACAACATGCTCTGAGAAACCAAACTCACAAGGGGTGAGGGGTTGTAAGGGAGGGCAGTGAGGGAATGGGTATGATCAAAATGTTACATGCATGTATGAAAACACCACACTGAAATCCAGTATTTTGTAAAAATAATATACACTAATAAAAAATACATTTAAAAAAACCCAAGTCACAATTTCTAAATAGAACAGAATTAGAAAAGACAGACCTTGTCCAAAAGTAGCCTATGTCTAGTTAGATAACTGGCAATAAATAATGCCTATGTACTGCTGGTAAGTTTAAAACCCCAGTCTTTCATACTCACCCATTTGGTATGCTTCATTGTCCCCTGATCGCCACATCTCATTTGTTGCTAGAGAAAATATGGTGACTGGATTTTTTCCTTCCACCTGTCTCATGACAGGGTCCTGACCCACTCGCCCAAGCAGCTGCACACGATTCAGGGCTGAAATGTAATGTGGGGACAAAGTGACACTGAGAATGTGCCATGGACTGAATGTTTATTTCCCTCCAAATTCCTATCTTGAAGCCCTAAGCCCAATAGGACAGTATGTGGAAGTGGGACTTCATGGCTAACTAGTTTATGTGAGGCCATGGGGAGGTGGCTATCTGATGGGAGTAGTATCCTTGAGACCAGAGTTCTCCCTCTCTCTGCCATGTAAAGGACACAGTAAAAAGGCAACTATCTGCAAGCCAGGAGATCATCGGCAAGAGTCCAACCACACTGGCACCCTAACCTTGGACTTCTATCCTGCAGAACTGAAAGAAATACATGTCTAGTGTTTAAGCCAGTGTTTTAAGTCTAGTGTTTACTACAATCTACGGTAATGTGTTATAGCAAGTAGAGGTGACAATTAAAGAAATCCACACACTTGACAGAGAAATGTCCAGAGAAGGAATACCTATGTATGCTACACCAGTTCCCATCTCTGCAATGAGCAAAACGCAAGTTCTAGAAGATAGCAAATAAAGGGGCAAGCAAAGGTTGGGGGAGGAGTTGGCAAGAAAGAAGAAAAGCCCAGCATGGTGCTGCACACCTGTAATCCTAGCACTTGGGAGGCTGAGGCAGGAGGATTACTGTGAGTTTGAGGCCAGTGTGGACTATATAGTGAGAGCCTATCTCAAAAAAAAAAGAAAGAAAGAAAGAATGAACCAGAGAAAACAGCCCCATAAAATAAAGTTTAAATTGTTTTTGTTTTTTTTTTTTGAGAAGGGCTCACTGTGTAGTTCAGACTGGTTTTGAACTCACTATGTAGCCTGGGATGGCCCTGAACTCCAGTGATCCTCTCACCTCAGCCTCCTAAGTGCTAGGATTAGGCATGTACCACCACACCTAGATTTTAAATTCTTCTTTGAACTATCTTTTTTTTTTTAAACAGTGGAGCTAAAAGAAATCCAAGACCTAAAACTCCTTACTTCAAATGAGAATGTTTCGTGAAACAGTATCTTTCACAATCTAATATAACCTTGGAGGATTCAGATAACCAAATATGATTCAAGGACATTCTCCCAGCAGGACAATGACGAAAAGACTAAGTAGTATCTGGCTAGCAGGAAGAAGGAACAATTTATAACGGGTCAGCATAGCTTGATGGGCATGGCCAAGATCTAAGGAACAAGTATGAGCCAAAGACATGACAGTTAACATGGTTAAATCCAGCACCTCTCTTCAACAACACTCTCAGAATAACAAGGTAGAAGCTGGGTGTGGTGATGCACACCTGCAATCCCAGTACCTGGGCGCTGAGGCAGGGGGATTGCTGCGAGTTCAACACCAGTCTGGGCTACAAAGTGAGCTCAAGGCCAGCCTGAATTACACAGCGAGACCCTGTCGCAAAAAGATGAAAAAAAAAAAAAAAGAATACCACTGTAAACTCAGAAATTAGCTACTTACATCTTTCAAGAACTAAACTGCTGGCTACTTCAGACTCATGTCTTACGAACTGACGAAGCACCTACAAGAGAACAAATGAGTGACAAGGTTTTAATTTTTTAGGCAAGGCAAATGCAAACACCATTCACACCTTAGTAGTTCCTATGAGATCCAGAAGAAAACAGCTTTAGAAGATCTCCCAATATATAGTGGAAGAAGGACTAAACAACCATGGTCAGAACAGCTGAATACAAAAGCTAAGGGTACAAAGAAAGTAGTACAGTGAATGTCCAAGAGTTAATTTATAGTCTTCTCCTGTTTCTTTGAGGTAATATTTCTCATTACGGCACTTCTGTGTTTGTACATAAAAGGTAAAATCCAGATGGTATGACTTCCACAATACAGAGCACAACAGTGATTGTACATCCAACCTGTCCTAAGAGTTGCTGTCAAGTATCAAAAACAAAGCCAGCACTCTAAAAGAACAGGAGATACTCCAAATGTGATTAGCCTACAATGCTTCAGTTAAAGATGATCAAAATGGTAATATGTAACATCTACTTCACAAGGCTATTGCAAAAATTAAAGGGCTACTATAGTAAGCTTAGCCCAAAGTTCTATAAATACCTAATGGGAAATTCCTGCTTTCAATGGATCAAAGAGAAATAGGATTATGAATTTGGTTAAGTGCAACAAGATGACATCCAAGTCACACACACATTCATTGAGAAAGGACAGTTACTGCCATATTAGAACAGTGTTTAATGTGTGTAACAGCTATCATTACTGAAAAACAGCTGTTTTACCTGGTATCATTTATCCTAAAACCAAATGTGTAAATAATGTAAAGTCATCCCCCACTTTAGAGCAGAAGAAACTGAAGCTCACACAAAGTAAATTACCTGCCCAAGATCTTGGAGAAAATAAGTAGTAAAGTCAAGACCAGATGCCAGGGCTGTCTGACATGGCAGCTGCTGCTTTTCCCATTACCCTCTGCTGCCTCCTAAAAAAGACATTCTGCACAAGGGCTACCACAAAGGTAGGAGTACACAACCCGGGATTCAGAGTTCAGAAAGCTAGACGTTCTAGCAGAGAAACTGTTGCCAAATGGCAGTACTGTTAATATGAAAAGCAGAAAATCCATCAAAATTGCCAGGCACGGTAGTGCACGCCTCTAACCTCAGCACTCTAGAGGCTGAGGCAGGAGGATCACTGCAAGTTCAAGGCCAGCCTGGACTGTATAGCAAGGCCCTGTTTCAAAAAAAAAAAAGAAAATCCATCAAATAAACACTCATTCCTATAATCCAATCATTAAGCTGTAAGATAAAGGGTATATTAGAAATAAAGCTGTAACTTACAGAACCAAACTGCTAACTCGTATCTATGCTGTGTTTATAGAAATACACTAATTTAAGTGGTCAGATAAGCCAAAACTTGTCTGAGAGAATAACAATGGGTCTCATTTTAGGCACACACAAAAATCAAAACATACTAGAAAGGCAGAAAGGACTGTTTAACTTGGACAACTTTTAAAACAAAACTTTTAGATTTTTTATATCTGGTTTTGGACATATTGTAGTACTGTACTATTATCAAGACAGTAGTAACTTTTCCACATTTCACATTTCAACAGATCTTTAAAAGCACGTTAAAATAAATGTAGGTTAAGGAGGGGATCTAAGAATACAAATTTGACAAGTGGGCTGCAATGACAATGGGTTTCATAGAGGAACTGAGTCTTCATTAGTCTTAACAGGAGACTAAGGAGTCATAAAAAGATGCTATGAAGGAGAATCTACAGGACTCGGTACCTACATGTAGTAAGGAAAAATGGTAGCCTCAGCAGGAAAGGCTGGCCAGAGTGGTGGGATAATGAGAAGCCGGAATCAATTTAGGGCGTTGCATTTGTGGTGCTGCTGAGAGCTGAGCTGCTCTTCTCAGAGCAGCAAGATAGGAAAGGGATGCATTTAGTAAAAGAGGAGGTAAGAGGTTTAGAAAAGGAATCACATGCCTTATTAAAAAATGCTGGAACAATGAATCTCTCTGATTTTGTGTGTGTGTGTATGAAATGGGCTCACAATGTAGTGCGGGCTATCCTTGAGTTCACTATGTAGCCCAAGCTGGCTTTGAACTCACAGTGATCCTCCTGCCTCAGCCTCCCAAGTACTGGGATTACAGGCGTGTGCCACCACGCCCTACATTCTCTGATTTAATCCAAGTAACACAGTGTTGCACAAAATTAACGATTGCTATTAATCAGACGAATAAATTTGAAAATCTGTACAGCAAACGTTTTTGACTTAACAAAATCCACTCCCAACCCTCCCTATCAAATGAGTCCCCACAGAGTGGCCGGAAGGCTAAAAGTGTGTGTCCCTGTAGTTACAAACCTAAGGAAATCTGATCCCTACGGCTGATAATACACTCAGTACTTATAGCAAAGTGACTACCTGTAACACAGGTCTTCGACAAAGCATGGCTCCTATTTTCTTTCTTTACAATCTAAATCTTTGGGTTCTTCCTGAAGACAAAAAAAGGAAAAAAAGATGAGTTAAATACTACATCTTACAGTCAGAGCACAAGTTCATGAGTTCTGAATTTGTAAGTGCACTCATGTTTTAACTTAGTCCCAAATTTCGACAACACATCAACATTTTCGCCCATCTATATTGGTTTCCCCCACCCCCCAAAACATCTCAGATCTGTCCTTTTGCCAGGTGTGGTGGCGCACGCCTGTAATCCCAGCACTCCAGAGGCTGAGGCAGGAGGATCATTTCGAGTTGGAGGCCAGCCTGGGCCACATAAGTGAGTCCGAGGCCAGCCTGAACTGCGTAGCAAGATCCTGTCTCAAAAAGACAAAAAAAAAAAAAAGACAAATTTTAAAAATAAAAATAAATTGGATGCCTTCTCCCAAAACACCTCAGATCTGTCTTTTTGATGCCACTTTCTCCAATACAAAAAAAAAAGCTTTCTGATCCTGAGTTAATTTCACTTTCCATTAGTTGTCGTATTTTATTGAAATGCAAGTTCCCATAAGGGAGAGATGTAGTCACTACTACACAAACCGAATCCAAATTCCCATAACCGAATCCCCATTTCCCAGCGCTGAACGTAACCACTGAATCTGATTCGGTTCCAGTCCAACTCGGTTTGCGACCAGAATCGTGGAGTCAAGTTCATGAACCAAGCTAGGTACCGCTGTTACTCTAAACTTCTAAAACAGTTCCCAACACATGGTAAGGGCTCGATAAATATTAGCATCATTAAGGGGCTTAAATCTGAAACGTGATACTGCAGGGAGAAAAAAAAAAAAGCCTAATTCCCCACCGAGCTGCGCAACTACCCGGCTTCCCCTAACGGGATGCACACGCAGGCGCCTTTCTCAAAAGTGGCGCTCCCACCCAATAACGTGGGAGAGCCGGAGGAAACTCCAAAGTCCTCCCCACGAGTGAGAAGACAAAAGGCAGACGCGCTTATGGCACCTTCTCCCGACAGACGCAGGTCCGTGCTCAGACACAACACACTGCTCGCGCAGCTCCTTCTTCCCTCCTTCACCTGACGCGCCCGCCCGCAGCAGCGCCAGTCAGGAGATCGCTTCCGGTGCACAGACGACGTGAGGCTCGTGACAGGAAAGAGAAAACTGTCCCGTAGTGTGCACTGTAGAAATGATGCCGGCGGGAAACAAGCCCCCTTAATAGGTGAGTTCCGGGGGCTTCCGTCCTGGCGGAAGTGGATCGGATCGATCAACGCCGCCAAGTGGTCAGTTCCGCGGATCTCAAATTCCCTTGAGATGAAATTATGAAGTTCTGTGCCGGGCCCAAGGGAGGACAAGGTAGGTGAAAAATACGGAATAGCTCCACCCTCTGGAGGAACAAAAACCCAGCCCTGTTCCCCTAAATCTCTAAGAAAAGCAGGAAAACAAACTAGATGAAAAGCTGAAGGCGCAGAATTTAAGGGGGTACCCAAAAAATTGGCAGTCAAGATAAATTAATTTTAATGTATTTCTGAAATTCAAAATTAATGCAAGTAATCCGTGAAGTACAAAAATTGAAGTAGATGTATGAAAACAAGTTAAAATTTATTTAAACCAAAAATGGAATTGTGTTTAATTTTACTTTCCTGCCCTTAATGGAAGTAAACTAGTCAGTATTTTCAGAATGTTTTGCTTATCTGATTTCAGTTGAGTGACTTGCCATGCCTGACAATTTTTCTTGACCTAGTGACCATCTTAAGTACAGTAACTGTAATTAACTTGTTTACTAATCTTTATTTTTAATTAAAAATGTATCATTACAGTGACACATTGCCATTAATGCCTCATAAAATACTCCCCCTTACTTTGAACACTTATACCATCATTCTTGTCCCTTTTATAAAAAACTTCACTGTGGTAAAAGACACATTGTCATTAGTCCCCCTCAAAATACTCCCCATTGCTTCTAATGTATTTAGTCATCATTCTTGCCACTTTCTAAATCAATTCTCAAACTTCTTGTGTCTTTTTAAAGTTTTTTTTAAAACCAGTATATGTTTGTGATACATGATAATTACATTCTTCTTGGTGAACTGGTCCATATACATTTGCATTTTCATCATTTCGACTTTCCCTTCTCCTCCCTCCCTTTTGTCTCTCCAAACCTTGTCTTTAAAATTCTGATTGTTTTGTTCATTCTGGGCTTTTTCACTAAATATTTAAAAAATAGTGCTTTGATGCATTTTTAATCTTGATTGCCAAACTTCTTGGTTCCTGTTAAATTTTGCCTTATTTACCTAATGGTTGACCTTGTGAGAAGGATGATGTGTGGAGCCCCACATATTGTAGAATCCAGGCCAGCAAGGGATTCCTGCTTTTTCCTGGTCCCCCCCGCACTGCCCACCCTGTAGAGATGAAAGGAATGCTGCATATGTTTCTAACAAACACATTGCTTCCTCTGGTCCAGTCTTGTCTTTTAAAGGGAAAATCTGTCCAATCCTCAATGGATGGACATTTGGGCTGCTTCCACAGTTATGGCACTTTTATATAATAGAAGATTACTCAGCTATAAAGAAAGATAAACTCGAGGCTTTTATAGGTAAATGTTCACAACTAGAGACCATACTCATAAGTGAAATAAGTCAGACCTGCACGTGTAAGAATCATATTGTCTCACTAGTGTAAGACCTGAAAGAGTGAATAAAAACTAGGAGGTATAATAGACATTGTGAAACAAAAGGAAATTGCTCAAAAGTAAAGGGCAACTGGGGTGTGGGAAAAGAGAAGGGAAAGAAGGGGAAATTATGTAAGTATGTATAAACAGGATAGTGAACATAGTTGTACTACTGTCTTCTATTGCTCTACAGAAATGAACAGTTAATGATTACTTGTTTGATCTATCTTGTATGTCTCTATTTGTTTTCTTGAGAAACCACTTTGAAGATATCAATAAGTAATAGAACAACCATGGTTAATTTCCTACAACTTTGTCTGTAGCTGTTTTGTTTGTATTGTTCTTATGCTATTTTGTAAATGGATGTCTGTTTGCTAATATGTTTTCCTTCTGTTTCCTAAAATAAAAAAATGGAAAATCTGAACTATTGACTGACTCCTGGCTTGCTAACTGGAATATTTTTTTTAAACTGGAATATTTTTAAATGTTTATCTCCATTCACTTACACTTTCACACAGTTGAGCTCCCAAAACACATTATACCATCTTCAAGACTTGCATAGGCATTAATAATACCATGTCGTACCATTTCCTACCATTTTTGCTTTTAATTTTTCTAAAGCCTTATAACTGATAGAAAATTACAGTGATTCCATCTAAAGTGATTACTGGCATGTATTTTAAGGTGGTTCAAAAGCCAGTCTAGCAATACTTACCATAGGGTATTATAGTCTTTTTTAAATGTAAAACATCGACCTGACAGTTTATGTAATTTGAGGTTAAAATTATACTTCTAACTAGGTCTTAATTGTTCAGTGTGGAAGGTTGACGTTTGTCTTTCAGTATTCATATTTCTTTTTTTTTCTTTTTTTTCTTTTAAAGAGTAAAAGAGGATAACATAGTAATAGGGGAGGCTTACCAAGTTACAGACAAAGTGGTAGGAAATTATCAATGGTTATTGTTTTATATATTGTTACCAACAAGATAGTTTCTCAGGAAAACAAATAGACAAATAATTGTGAGTTACAGACAAAAGAGGTAGGAGATTATCAATAGTTGTACTATACTTTGGTATCTTCAAAGTGGCTTCTAAAGAAAATAAATAGAGCTATACGTGAGTGACCAATCGAATAATCATTAACTATTCTCAATGGTTGTTGTAGGAAACACATAATAATAAACATACATCCATAGTATTCATATTTCTAAAGCTTTAGACAAATGGCTGTTCTAAATTGGTCCATGTGTTAAAGCTTAGAGAAATATTGTTGTGCTCTACTGGTCTGGTCTAAATCTCAAGATTTTCTGTCAACATCTTAAGGTGAGGGCCAGAAATTGTGTTTAGGATGCATGTATTAAAAAATCACAATACTGCCAGACATGGTGGCACACACCTGTAATCTCAGCACTTGGAAGGCTGAGGCAGGTGGATTGCTGTGAGTTTGAGGCCAACTTGGGTTACATAAGCAAATTGAAGGCAGGCCTGCACTATATAGTGAGATCCTGTCTCAAAAAATAAATAAATATTAAATATCATATTTACTTTCCAAATTATTTCTAATTTCTTTCCAAATTATTTAAATTTAACTTCTTTAATGTAATCAGTGCAATGATGTAAAATAACAGTTATTTGGGCTATATCATGACCTGTGTGCAAAAAGAGAACTTACTTAGGCAAGGGGTAAATGTCCAGCAGACACAGAAGGGATGAAATCTTGAGCCTGGTGAAAACCCCATTCCTCTCATACTCAATCTTATCTGTGCAGCTGTGGGCTATTTTATTGACTTCATTACCATGGAGCTCAGCAAAGTAACAGGGTCATAAACCAATAATTATCTAACACCAGGCCCACTCAGGTGTGAAAATAGGCTCTAAGGAATACAGTGGATAAGGAGACATAGACTCTTCTAGTAATAGTAATTGTCAGTATTCGAGAAGACAAGCATAACCAAGGAATTCCAGCTTACATTGCATATACTTAATATATGTTTCTAAGTCACAAGCTGTGGTTCACTTTGTGCTATACTTCAAGGAGGATGGGGAAGGCATAAGAGCAGGGATGTGGCAAGAGATAAACTACCTGTTTTAAGCCTTGCATAAAAATGAATAAATAAAAATGGCAAGAGATTATAGGAAGAATTTAATTGCATGGAAAGATTTGCCATTTAAAGGCAGAACAATGAGTGATATGCGGGATCCTTTAATTTAAAAATAATTAGCTTCTAAAACTGAAAAGAGCCGGACAAGGTGGTGCATGCCTGTAATCCCAGCCCTCAGGAGGCTGAGACAGGAGGATCATTGTGAGTTCAAGACCAGCCTGGGCTACAAAGTGAGCTCAAGGCCAGCCTGAACTGCATAGTAAGACCCTGTCTCAAAAAAAAAAAAAGAAAAACTAAAACTGAAAAGAATCAGGCATCACAAAAGCTGTTAACAGGCTACCTTCATTAAGATGATACAAATTATCAAATATTATACCTTTATGGCCAACATTATTTTATAACCAAACCTGACCATTACTATCTTTCGGACTTGTAAAGTGAGGCCTTACAACCAAGATATGTTACTCTATTCTCCACCTACTAGATTCTCTTAGGAATCAATCTAACAAAGGAAGTAAAAGATTTGTGTGTTAGTACTCTGGGCTGGGGATATAGCTCAGTGGCACAAGTTCCTGCCTGGCAAGCATAAGATCCTGAGTTTGATTCCCAGTACCAAGGAAAAAAATTACAGTACTCTGAAAAAGGAATTCAGAGAGGACTTTGGAAAATGGAAAGAAAATCTTCTGGAAGAGAAAGTAGGTAGAAATCTTGAAGACATAGGTATAGGCAGAAAGATCATGAACAAAACCCAAACTGCACGGGAAATACTTCAAAGAGTCAACAACTGGGATCTCATCTTATTAAAAAGCTTTTGGACATCAAAAGAAATCACCAACAGAGTGAAAAGACAACCCACAGAGTGGGAAAAAATTTTAGTCAATTGTCCCTCAGACAAAGGACTTCTATCTTGAATTTAGTTTAGTGCACCATGAAATATATGGGTCCAATTTTAATCTTCAGCATGTGCAGAGCCAGCTTTTCCAGCACCATTTATTAAACAAGCTATCTTTCTTCCAATGAATGTGTTTGGCACCTTTGTCAAAGGTAAAGTGGCTGAGTATGGCTGGAATTGTTTCTGCATCCTCCAATCTGTTGCACTGATCATTAGGTCCGGTTTTGTTTTGTTTTGCCAGTACCACACTTTTTATACAGTAGTTTTATAGTATAATATCAAGTCCGGGATTGTGATGCCCCCTGCCTTGCCTTTGTTTCCCTGGATTGCCTTTGCTATTCTAGGTCTCTTCTATTTCCTAATGAATTTTAGAAATGTTTTCTCTAGTTCTGTGAGGTATGCTAATGGTATTTTGATCAGGATCGCATTAAATCTGAGGAACAGTTTTGGGAGTATGGCCATTTTCACAATGTTGGTTCTTTCTACCCATGAGCAAGAGATGTCTTTCCATTTTCTGATATCCTCTTCAATCTCCATTTTCCAAGTACTGTAATTTTCATTATAGAGGTCTTTTACATCCTTCATTAGATTGATTAGTAGGTATTTCATTGGGGGATGCTATTGTGAAAGGTGTTATTTCCTTAATTTCACTCTCAGTGTGTTTGTTATTTGTGTACATGAAGGCTATTGATTT